AAAAACACGGATATTGAGGAGGAAAACTTTCCCAGATTTTTTTCCTCCTCTTTTTTTTTCCTTTTCGTGTGGTGGTAAGTAGTGTATTGTGCCCGGGGGGCGGGGGGGGCGAGGGGGGGGGGGGACGGGGAGAAAGGGGGGGGGGGGGGGGTAAAATGAGCGCACCGTCGGCCTCAGGTTTGTTAGTCAGATGACTATCTGAAGTTACTGACATATATAAGGACTCTTTTTTTAAGCATCTTCATAGCTGAGTTATGTTTAAACGTGTGGTAAGTTTTCGTCTTCCATCTTTGAATAAGTGCTCCTTGATGACTTTACTGAAAAGCGTGCGTTTAACTTTTTTTTTTCTTTTTTCCTTTTTTCCCCTGCAGGAGCGCCAAGGTTTCCCAAGTCCCCTCCAGTAAAATTGTACGGCTTCTTAGGTAGAGAAACAAAAGTGGAATGTGACCTATTTGGAAACCCCACCCCTGAAGTTCAATGGAACAGATCTCCCTCGTCTCCTCTCCCTCCGGGACGTAGTCAGGTGAAAAAAGACGGACTTTATATTAACAACACGAAGAAAGAGGACGAGGGCATCTACACGTGTCTTGCGACGAATGAATATGGTATGGTCATCCATGGAACATACCTTATAGTCAAGGCAGTGGGTAAGTAAGAACTAATCAGATTAACTGCAAAGGACCGCAAACGAATATGCGGCAGAACGAAGGATCTCAGAGGAAGACCTGACCAGCAATAAATATACCAAGTTGAGTCAGACTACGAATGTTCGTTAATAATTTCTCAAGTGCACGTGCTAATATAGAGCTAATACTTTGTCCTTTGGCTTACCACATGGAAACCATCTAAAGCTGTTGTGTTCTCTTTTAATTATATTATAATGAATAACAATATTGTGAACTTTCGGATTTTTATATAAATTTATCTCTGTTGAAAATGCATGTTGAATAGCACACGCAACTTCAAGTTTATACAGAAATGCGGAAGTTCACAATTTTCATCAATTTTGATTTACAGCTATTCAAGTTAAGCCGTTTCCGGTGGGGTTGGTAAGACCCCCCAATTCTTTCTTCTACAAGCCACAAGTTAGTAATTGGCTTTAGTTTTGGTACTAGTTCTTGCTACTAACGGGTTGGAAATATGATCTCCACTCAGAACCTCCAGTTTTTACCGTAACACCACCTGAAGCAGTCAACATATCCGGTGTAGAGGAACCAGTCAGAATCAATTGCTCAGCTACAGGCTCCCCTCTGCCCAAAATCACCTGGTACAAGAACAATATTACCCTACCTGCGAACATTTACGTCAACGATGACGAAGTAACTAGCGAGCTTGTGATTGGTCAACCTAAGCCCTCTCTCCAAATCACTTATACGTGTGTTGCTCGTAACTTGTACAACGACGAACTAAAGATAAGTACAAAAATAGGTGAGGTGTGCTTGAAAACGCAAGCGTAGTCTTTCTGTCCTCTTCGCCACAATTGGGAGATTGCGGTTCTCCATAAAAATCAAGGTGCCTTGATGAGAAGATCACTAAACCCCGACTCGCAGGTTTAAGTCAAACAAGAGCTATCATTTGGGGCTAAATATGGGAACAAGTCCCCTTGCTCTTAGCTTGCACTCAATTTATTTTTTCAACATCACAATATCTGGACTAAGGAGTTTAGTCATAACCGTTACAATTTCCTCAAATTTGACGGGCCGTGCTTAAGGGGGCTCTACTTTCCACTAATCATTGTATATATAGGGTTGTAATCGGACAGTGTAATATGACAGTTGGTTGTAATCGTATCGAACACTAGTATCGGACAGCTACATTAGCCAATAATATTAAGTGCACTCAGCTAAATACACCAATCACACTTGTACTGAAGTTATCACGATAACCATAGCAATAACCAGTAACCCTACTAACCTGGGCATTTTCCAAAATGGACGAATTTGTAACACTAGACAGTGTCTCCTGCAGTGATATTTTCCCTAATTTTGGACATTTGGTATTCAAATGCTCTTTCACTAAAAAGAATCCATTTATTTTCTCGGACATTGTAAAGGTTACGACTAATTGGCAACGAGACTTCGTGTCGTCCAATTCGGTCTGTAATCATAAACAAAAATCGGATTTTGTTAATCACTCGTGTGATTACAGACCGAATTAGACTCCACTCAGTCCTATTTCCCTTAAAAGAAATTAAGTTTTTATCTAATTTTCATGCATTTACCGCCAGAAGTAAATTCCCGGGAGCATTCTAGAAATGTATTACCTGCACCCGCTGATCAACAGCTATAGAAATTTTTGTATTTATCACTAACGTCTTAACTGCAACCGCTCAAACTTTTTTAAAAACCTTTTCTTTCTTTTTTCTAGTTTTACGCGATTGTGGTGACCCAGGAAAACCTGACAATGCAATTGTTGTAAGCCAGAGCAAAAATTACTGGGCAGGAGAGTATGTCAGGTACCTCTGTAATCCGGGATATGCTATGGTTGGTCCAGCGGTAAGAAGATGCTTGCCCAGCGGCAAATGGAGTGGAAATATACCAACATGTAAGAGTCAAAGTTAAAAAATTAAATAATTGTGTAAATCGATGATGATGATGATAATAATAATAATAATAATAATAATAATAATGTTGGCATCCGGTCTGTCTCGGGAGACAATGTAATTGGCGCCAGGGTTTAGTCAGTGGTTTAGTCGCAGCGCCTTCTGTGGCTGGGGAACAATCCGATTCTGGATCGGGACGCTTTGCGTTGCAGTTGTTGCAGATAAATTCCATGTATGGATCTGTGGGTACTGATGCTGCCCACAGCCGTCTGCGCCTGGGTCCTCTCCTCACACGCCTGAGTGCTTTCCTCAACAGCAAGCCCCCAGTGGCCTCGGTCTACAGCTACAGCTTCCCAGGTTGCAGGGTTGATATTGCCTGCTTTCAGATCTCGTTTACAAACTTCTATGAAACGACAAGTAGGCCTCCCTGCAGGTCTGGTTCCAGTGGCATAGCTCGCCGTAGAGTACGTGGCATGGCCAAACCAGCGCAACCGTCTCTGAATGAGCAAGGAGAACATGGTAGCTACTTCCGCCTGTGCTAGAAAATCATTGTTTGGGACATATAAGTAGTTAACGCCTGGACTAAGTGGTATAAAATATTGATTATACCTTCAGCACAGATGATGGCACTGAATTAAAATTTGGCACACATAAAGAACTCATTGTCGTTGTTAACATTTTAAAGTAAAAATATTGTGTTAATACGTCAGGCGATATGTCATGTGACCATTTCGCTAAAAATCGTAAATTATTGATCAATTAGTTGCCAGTTTAAGATAAGAAATCCAGCAATAACATTTTTCTAATTCATATTAAATATTTCTAAGACTTCACGTTTGGAGTGACCGTCCCGTGCACTTCAATAAAAAACATATGCGGGGAAACGTCATTTTAAATGCCCAAATTTAATCTTCAATTATTTGAAACTTCAATTTTAAACGTCGCGTACATTCATTCAAAACGTAGAAAGTAAGGGTAGCTTATCCTCTTTCAGAGATGCCACTTTGTTTATCCACTCAAAGTAAATTCGCCACCAATTCGCCAGTTTTCTTCATTTTCAACGTTAAGGTACAAGAAAACCTCAAGATTTACTTTTGTTGAGAAATCCATTTTGTCCTAGGTCTCCTAGCGAGAGATATTGCTAGTCATTCATATGCTCAGAACACACCTTTAACCCGGGCCTTAAATCCCTTGAGACGGCCTTGCCAGCTGATGCCCAAAATCCTTCCGAGGCAGCGCCGGTGGATGGTGTGGGGTCTGCGCTGTTGGCGGGAGTAGAGGGTCCAGGTCTCTCCCTAGAGCAACGCAGGACTGGTACACAAAGTCCTCCATCACCTCGAGAGTGTAGTCGCCAGTGGAGAAGTTTGGGGTCCTGCTAATATCTTGGCCAAGGATGTTGATCTTCTTGAGACTGTTGGTGAGACCAAACCCGCTCGAAGGAGCTGATAAGTCGCCTTAAAGCACCCTCAGTGTGCGTGGGCGGTTAGGACAGCGTCGTCTGCAAACAGCAACTCCCATATCAGTACTTTACGAACCCTGGCCTTTGCTCAGAGGCGTGCAAGGTTGAAGAGATGTCCATCACTTCTGGTGTGAAGGTACACACCATCCTCTGACTGGCTGAAGGCGTAAGACAGCAATAGAGAGAAAATGACGCCGAAGAGTGTCGGAGCAAGTGCACAGCCCTGTTTTACTCTGCTCTTGGTTGGGAAGAGGTCTAAGGTTGAGCAATCGTACTGGAATTCATATACATTTATCACATTCACCTCTTTAACCGGGCAGGATTAGCTCCGTCGGTAGAGCGCTTGACTGCAGAGCGGGAGGTTCGATTCCCGCGACCTGAACAACACACAGGGTCTTAAAATGACTGAGAAATGAAGGTATTGCCTTTGCCCAGCAAACGGCTAGACCCTCGCGTGGCTCGGATGACCACGTAAAATAGCGGTCTCGTCTCCAGTAGGAGACGTAAAAATAGTACTAAATACATTGACTCTCATATGTCATATGTTCCAATGGAACATATGAACACATAATTGACGAACTCCCAACATCAGTGGCTTCATAGCTTAGTTGGTTAGAGCATAGCACCGGTATTGCGAGATCACGGGTTCAAACCCCGTTGAAGTCCTGAATTTTTTTTTTTTTTCAGGCTTCTTAGGCAATTGCATAAATTGCGCNACATCAGTGGCTTCATAGCTTAGTTGGTTAGAGCATAGCACCGGTATTGCGAGATCACGGGTTCAAACCCCGTTGAAGTCCTGAATTTTTTTTTTTTTTCAGGCTTCTTAGGCAATTGCATAAATTGCGCTCACAACTGCGAGGATCATTCTTCATTTGATTTCATTTCCGCAGTTCTTATATGAATAATTTCATATGCATCTATCACTTTGAGTACTTCGTCTGCTGAGGGTGGAACGTACGTTAAGTTTATTCATGACAGGTAGGAGGTTGTTTCTCCCAACTGCAGTGTCAGTGACGAAGTTCTCCCTATAGTGTAGCTCTTGGTAGTGGCTCTTGGTAGCGGCGAGCGATCCTTTGGGCATCGACGTCTTGGCCTTCCTGAGTGCAGTACGTGAGTGTCTTATCAGAGGACTCCCTCTTGTAGTCGAGCACTGCTGCTCTCTTGCAAAAGCTGCCATCACTGGCTCGAGCTTTCGGTAATGTCAGCTTCACAGCAGTCTGTAAGCAGTTTGTGTCCTGCCTCTTTTTCTTGCCAACGGCGTCCATGGCCGAGTTGTAAATTGCGAAACGGATATGGTAATTTTCCCCAGCGCTTGATGTGGAGAAGTCCCTTAGGACCTCTTCAATGGAGTCAGCAACGCCCTCATGCAGGTCTGGTATTGCTGTCCTAGCCGTGTTGTAGCCTGCGATCAGGCGTATTTTTTTTTTGTTTTGTTTTTCGGAAGGACACCTGATCGCGGGTTAGCGCTGTGTTGATGCTTGGGCGTCCTTTTATGCTAGGGTTGAGGGCTTGCCTTCCTACCCACCAGAGAGTGTTCGGTGTCGCATTCAGCGCTGTCGTAGCTGCGCGTACTGAGGACACAGTTAAGAAGGGGTCTTCAAGTGATAACAACATCCAGCTGGTGCCAGTGACGGAATCTTATCTGGGGTGACGCCAGGATAGTTCATGGTTAGGCTTGGTTGAGACGAAGGTGTTGGTTACGGATATTTCCAACCCGCTCGTCTGCTAAGAAAGTGTATACGTATGGTACTTAATGCCCTGAATTTCCGAGTTCTAAAAAAACTCTCATTTCAAAACGAGGCTATGTATTGTAAAAAACCTTTCGTTCAAAAAGGAGTTTCGTTTGCGTGAAATAAAAAAAAAATCATTTTCTTATCTATAGCTTCGCACCTTGCCTCGCTTCGAATAAAAGTCCTTTACAAGTTACTTAATATTTAATGAAAGTCAATTCCCTTCATTGACTTTATTGTTTTGTCGTTTGTTTGTTTTTTCAGGTACAGAAAAGCCTGAATGCGAGCCTTACTGGACCATAGATGACAACACTAGACGGAAAAGTTTTACGGCGTCACGAACTAATAAGAATGACTACTATTTGGCTGAAGGATGGTACAGGTTTATATCAGGCAAACAAATGTCCACAAGTTGTAGTTATAGAACCAGCTATTGCGATACTTCATATGCAGGATGGTTGCAGGGAAGCCATCCGTCAGTGAAGGAAGGGGTGGTCTCTCGGAAAGTGTGTTTTGGCAATACTGGTTCACGTTACAGTAGTTACTGTAGTTGTCAATATAGTACATATATAAAGGTGCGAAACTGCGGTTCTTTCTACATCTACAAACTGAAACCCACACCAAATCAGAACTGTCGTTATTGTACTGAATACTAACAGAGTCAAATGAAAAAG